TCTGCTCGACTGCAGACAAAGTAAAACAACATAGGATTTTGTTTTCTGCTATTCAATTGGTTCATAAATCAATGAAGGCTTGGATGACTGTGAAGATTTTGACAGATCGTCTCACGACGTTCATGTTTCTTGTTAGACTTAACTGCATGTCTACAACTCCCGTCAGATTCTCCTAAAGGTTCCACACTTCATTTTACTGATTTTTCTATAGTTTGAATCGTTCGCATCATTTGGAGTCAATGAACTAAGATTCTTCCCAAAATGTTGACGGTACCTACGTTTATCGTATGATTATCCCGATATCATAATCGCACATTCAAGAGAAGTTAGTCAATGAACCCCAACATCGGTAATTTTATGAACAGAATAATCACCTAATGAAATCATAAAATATCAAATAAACTGATGCATTGTCATCACATAAGGTTATTCCTCGGTTACTTAAGAGTAAACTCACTGAGATTCGGTTTTTCGAACAGAAATTTCGAAGTAAACCAGGCGTCCATTCATCCGTTTTACCTATGGTTTTTTTTCCAGAGGTCTTCATTACCAAGGCATCTTTTATTTCAGTAGCTTCATCAATTAGTGGACTACATCACATTTATATGAAGTGCGTTGTATAGTGAAAAATATCGCGAATCCAAGCATTATGGAGGTGTGGATAAAGAACAAGTAATTTACAGATTATGAAGGTTGATAACTTCATACTGCGTCCTAGGTTTTAAATATGGTCGTATGATTATAAATTCCACAAACCAAAACCATTTTAAAATATGTAGAGTTATTCATATACTTTCTGGGACGAGCTTTTGCAATCAGGAAAGCAGACAATTCTCTGTGAACTGAAATATGCGTCTAACTTGTATGAACAGGCAACAGAGATGTGGACGGGGTTATCCAATCAGACCTATCATCCCCTCAATGGTCACGTTATTTAGCTAACAAATGTTGATATCACGACAAAGTGGCACTAGTTGCTTGAAAACTGAGAGAAGTAGGATCCATCTTGGAACTGAATCTCCTCATTCAAACGCTAATCCCTCTTGGCGGTACTTATTCTGCGATTAACACATTCGACCTGTGATATGGCCGGTGGTATTGTAGTTCGATTATCAAGACGGATATGAACGAAAGCCATAAGATCAGAAAAATATGGTTACTTACCACAGAACCTTATGCAGCACTGAGCCAAGTAATATCAGGAGACCTAACCTGTCTTAAGACTCCAAAGACCTAATATTTAGATAAAATACTACTCTTCATAGGGATTTTAGCAAGTGAAAAGTTATCAAGTGGTTCATTCTGGTCGCTTCAAGGAAATGGGAGGTTTATTCGGTAGAGTTTTATCTGGCTAGGCAACACAATGAACCAAATTATGGAATGATAAAATTAGAACCTGAATGATCAGATTTCAGCGCGGAATTCATGCACTTGGCGAAATAGAGTTTTGGCATTATAGCTGATGTAATTTCGTGATGAAAATCTTAAATGTAATTCCCAACCCTAACCATCAACTGTGAATCACAATTCTAATTCCTCACACAGGTTATAACCCTCATTTGGTCCTAGTCATTAGGTGAAGACTCTCAAAGTCAGTCTAGCTTCGCTCAAAGGTCGTCCGTAAGATCAACATCAGGCGATGACTGAATGAACATCAATCGAAGCCAACATAACGCCAAACAAAGGAATCTCTATACAGTCAAACATGAATCAGTACCTTCAATGCATATTCTTCGCTATTTTTCATCTTTAGTAAAGTTCTAGAGAAATAGGTCCAAGAGTGTTAGATTCACCGTAAGGACACTGGTGTAATCATATGTGGCGGTATATAAGTCCTGGAAATTAATAGTTTGGTAGATCTTTGACATTGAAGTTAGTCTCATTAATTTTGCCGAACAAACTGTCAGCTGAATTTGCTTGGTTGAACATCCATACTTAGTCACTTTTGGACATGCAGTTTTGAGCATCTCTTACGGTAAGTATTCAGCCTAAAGTACCAGCCTTACGATCCCTCGACTACTTTTTCCAAATGGAGTTTCTCATCCTCCCATTTCTGAATTCTGATTAAACTGGTTCTGTAATCCTCGATTAGAATGGATGTTTCCGAGAGCAGCGTTGTCAAGCCATATATATCCGCGACATTTTTGCATTTAACTTGAGACTCATAGTCTAAGGAACCAGGCAAACAACACAAAGTTATTCGCGTTTGTATTCAATTCAGTGCATAAACAAGTGACATAAAGTGAAGGACTTTAGTTTTTATGGCCTGAAACATAGGTCAGTATAAAAAACACTCGAGAAAAAAAAGGACTCACGATGTTTCAAAACGTTAGATAATTTCTCAGAATTGTGGAAATTCGACGGAGTCACTCTGGTTCCAAAGTAAAACCATTTAAACTGTCAAAAGATCTCGAAGTGTGCTTGTTGAGCGGTCAAAGTTGTACAGATAGGCTCCTACTGAATGAAAATAATTTCTTGACCTCAAAATTAAGCTTATTTTATCAATGAACGGCAGTGGACTTATTTTTAAAAATCAGCAGCAGCATCGTTAGAGAAACCCGTACAAAGTAAGGGGCGAGGAGTAGAACATGACATTATAAATGGTAATTCATTTGATAACAAAACCTGTCTCATGAAAATAGAAAGAGTGAATTAATAATCTGTTCCTTGAAACCAATGGAAAGAACCTACATGTCATCATATTTCATTTTTTAAACTATAATATCAAATATCGATTGCTAACCAAACTCAACACTCGGTCTTCTAATGGCAAATGTTTAAACTCCGACAACATGATCCTCGAAGCTGAACAGAAATTCAACATGTAACACTTGATAAGGGTCGAGAATGGTGAGATGGGAAGTGTCATGGCTCAGTCTTACAGACGTGCTCATTTTTTGTAACTCATTACTATTCACACCGAAAATATTATTCCATTCCCAGCCCACTGCAGAACCTTTATCGACATTATTGAAGTCACTGACCGAGAAGATCGTGAACATCATACGGAACTGATACGATGGACTACACTGAAGAGTGGCGTATGAATGAGGACCGGAGTCATACAAACGGCCTATTCTTCTCCTTTCTATTTTGTCTAGTGGTAGACTGGATTATGAAGACCTCCCACTCCAGGGGAATCACGGAATACAATGCAAAGCTTTCACGTATCTGGTCGGTCCGGACTCTACATATAACCTAGCTGTTCTTTCCTATACACAAGAAAAATGAAAGCGAAGACAGTAAGTGCGGCAGAAGCTTGTGAATCAGTAGGTCTCAACATATATAGGGGAATAAGCAACATCCTCGAATACAACACAGAGAACACAAACCCAGTCACACTTGATGGAAAAGTCCTGAGAGAGATAAAACTTTCATGTACCTGGGCAGCATCATCGATGAACAAGTAATACCTAATGCAGATGTTATGGCAAAGACCAGCAAATTAAGGGCGGCGTTTCTACTGTTGAAGAACCTATGGAATTCGAAAATGTCTGCAAGCCAACGTCATATTCAGAATGTTCAATACAAACGTCAAGACAGTTCTGTCTGTACAGTGCTGAAACATGGAGAGCTACTAAAACCGTCATCAAAGATGTACAAGTATTGATAAACAATTGGCTATACAATATACTCAATAACCGTTGCCCGAATACCATCAGCAACAGACTATTGTGGGAGAAAACAAACCAACTTTCAGTTGAAGAGGAAATAAATATGTTTGATATTGACAGACAGATGGGGCCCGGTAAAATGTTTCCCAGATTAATAAAAGAATTAGTAAATTTTGTCGCATATACTCTAAGCATACGTTTTAATTAATCTGTTATCCCTCTGTAAAACTATGCCTAGCGAAGTACCTCAGGGTACGGTTTGGAGACTGCTGTTTGTTCTTAATGTACGTAAATGAACTCCCAGTGATCAATCAATTGTGATTACATCTCAGTCCTACAGGAGGTTAGTCACGGCTCGGATAGTTCAGTGGTAACGTCTCTGACTGTGAAGCTGGGTGACACGAGATCGAATCCGCCAGGGAGCACCAGTTTCCTCAAGATTACAGCTACACCTTGTTGACGAGTGCCATGTAGCACGAAACCCGGTTTCAGGCTTTCCTGTTGACTATCTCCAACCACCATCTAGAACTCCCTAGTTTCAAATCATCACTGGTTCTACTGTTTGCTGACGATGTCAAGATACGGAGAGTGATAAGAATTAAAGGTGATAGTGAAGAGCTTCAAAATGATCTTGAAAAACTAGCTGAAGGGTCTAGGATTTGGTAGTTGCCGAAGCATATTGGTCAACAGGATACAAATGCATACACAGTGAATAACACTGAACTATCTGTTGTCCAGACACACAATGACCCACGAGTCACCATTATCCAAGACCTAAAAAATAGTACTCACTGCCATGCAATAGCCTCCAAAGGTTTCAGAACTTTATGGTCAATACGAAAAGCTTTTAGCCCTGTCGATGCTAAAAGATTTTGAATTTATATAAAGTATTCGTGAGTCCTAAACTTGAGTACTGCACAAAAGTTACTAGCCTCTGGTTAAAAAAGGCAGTAAGCCTTGAGCAAAGCTGTAGAGAACATCAACTAAGCTGATCCCCGGAATAGCAAAGTTCCCGTTTGATGATCAACTTACTAAACTAAATCTTTTTCTAACGTCATATAGAAGAACCCGATGTTATTTGATCATAGTGCTCAAATTACTTAATGACCACTTTTCATCTGATATGTTTCCGATGCTCTTGTCTCTCGAAACAGAGAATTTGCGAGGTTACTCTAGAAAGCTCACGAACCCAAAACAAATTACTTGTTAACTAACTATCGACCTTCCCATCGAACCATCGACGAATGTAATTCAATACCTCAACACGTGATTAAAACTCCATCTGTTGACGCCTTCATAAGAAATTTGGATCGTCCAAAATACCACAATTTCCAGGAATAACACAAGCCACCCAGTCTGAGATTCTTTCAAAAATGAAACTCGGCTTAGGGACCGCGCCTATCTCAACACGGTACGTTACTTTGTAGTGCTTCTTATTTTTTGTTAAGGCACAATGCTTGAATAATTTTCCTGTGTTTAGATGAAGTATTATTCAGAATCTTGCTTTAAACTCTGTATTTGTCCAAGCGATCCTTATGTCATTATCACGAAAACATGTTCCTGTTCTCAAAAATTTTGGGGAACATTTCATCAATTTCGGGGAAATGCGACAAGATCCTCAAAACCTCCCCTGGTATAGTGTTTTTCCAAAAAGTTCATGTTATTTTGGAAAATCCCACGTTTTAACTCGACTCTGTGGGAAAGTACAAATTTCCACATAACTTTAAGAAAAACCAAGATTCTCCAGAATTTCCAAGAAAAGTGCTGAGATTAGGCACTTTTGTTCTTCTTTATAAACTGGGATGATTGGTGACCGATACCAACCAGAATTCGTTACATCTAGTTGCCTGATTCTAAACAAGATCTCAGTTTTACAGACTAAACTGGGTCATCTTTAAAAGTTCCAGGATTTAAGCTTTTCTTCTCAGTGCTCTGTTCATTGGCCCAATCTCCTGGACTAAGAGTAGATAACGGACCAACCTTTCTCCGACATAGTCTTACAATCGCATTTTTAACATCTACTTCCTTGAAAAGCCTTAATAATTACCTACTCTTATCTATCTCCGTTGTCTTTTTCATATTTTCTGCTTTCGCATCCAATCACTGTTCACTGTAATTGCTCAGGCCTTTTATCAGCATACGTTTAAACTGTCTCCGCTCCCCATAGTATTCGGAACCATAAGGAATGAGTTCTCAAGCATCTGATACTTAAACAAAAGCTGTTGAAGTCCACTGATTTTTCAACCTTTTGGTTTCGGTTACTGGTGGGTGTCATTGCCGTTTGAATATCATGCCCAGGTTACCTTGGGGTGGGTATCGATTTCATGGTTGATTAACTCCTTTCTCAGCTCCTAAGATTTATTCGTGACTTATCATTAACTTTAACTCCGGGAGGTTTTCTTTTGGTGACTTTTATATATCCAGTGAGACCTTGGAAAATACTCACTCGTACTGAAGCATGACCCGAGTCCAAGTATATACTCCAAAATGAGCGACAGTCTTCCATCGGGCCTTTTCTACAATGGTTGATGGCCATGAGGTCTATTTGAATACATTGTTGGGTCGATTGTGGAGGTTTTCGCACCGGACAATGTTAACCCTGTACTTGGAATTCGTGTTCGTTAGAAGTAGACGGTTATCTGAGCATAGTCGCAGCAAACGGTCACTATTATCCGTTTACTGGGGGCGTGGCACCATATGATCAATTTAAGCTTTTTCAGTCTAGCTTAACCTACCACGTTGTGCATTATTTGCCGACGCTGGGACTGGTTGGAAAAAGCGGAGAGGTGGTCATTGTATGACATAGTGTCGTGGTGTGAAAGCTGCAAAGGGCTGGCTCGTGTTAACCCTTTACGACTCCCTGGTTGGTGTCCTAGAGACGGCAAAACCGTGGCTAGAGACGTAATCAGATATGGCTCAGAATAGAAGCCAGTGGCGATCCTGCTGTAACCTTCTTTTACTTTCTTCATAAAAAGTGGTATTTTCCTTAACTGAAAGAATTATTCTGGTTGCACCTTTCCGTTTCCCCTATTATTATTATTATTATTGTTACACAACCTTACACTAATCTGGTCGTTATTGCTCTTTTTTCCTATACGCTCCTTACCTTCTTTTATCTCTCCTCATCGTCACTGTTTTGTGTGGCGGATATATATTTGGTGCCCCCTTGTACCATTATTTATGTGTTCAAATAAATAAATAAAACAATATACGCAAAGGAAAGATAAAAAGTATATACCTCCACCCATTGGCAATAGTTTTGCATATAACTAAAATAAGGGAAGTTTAAACCTTTTTGTTGTCACTTCTGATCCACTGTTTGTGTTTTGAACTTAAGTGATGGGTCACTGACAAGTCTCAAGTGGTACGGGATACATATAGTGTATCTTATCTCTAAACACAATACTCTTCAAGTGAAAACCGTCGAATTTTATTTATAGATGTCTGGTATATGTTAAACTTGTCGTTAACGCTTCATTTCTTTTAATGCTTCAATTTATATCTTGTCTCTTGAATATATCTTAACAACACGTGTATGAATTATTGTACGTTAAATATTTACTTATTTAAAATGGAATAAAATTATCGAATAAAAATTTTTAAAACTGTTTATATTTTTTGAAACTCATTTTAGATTGGAATTAGACCGTTTACGTTATTTTCTCAAAAGTATCATTTTCCTTGTATACGAACCCAATATTTATTCTCCAATATGGCTGTCAGTTATTTAAGGTAATGATTTTTGTTTCAAATTTAGTTTTTTCTTCTTAAAAAAACGTCGTAATTTTATTTTTGACTTATTACAATAAGAACCAGATATTTTCCTGCTTTATTTAAAATAATCTGTTTGCTGAACTCTTTATGTAATGGATTTAATTCGAAACTTTATAGAGCATATAACAGACAAAAAATGAAACTAGAGTGGTGTCATTAATACGATAGTAAGACTTAAATACTATGGTATGAAATTATAGCAATGATAATTTCAAAGGAAATCAATATTGTTAACCATGGTAGGACATTGTTTGGATACAATTGCATAAAAAAATATTCAGTACATTAAAGCTGTGGTTATTTTGTTGCATTCTATCAACTTTAATTTCCAAAAAAAAAAATAGGAGTGAGGAAATCTGGTATAACTTGTTTTACGTCCATTAGACAATTAAATCATGATAGTTATACGTATAATTAATTTTATTCCAGCCAATTCAATCATGAAATCTATGAATATTCCTCTTTTTAATTGACTGGAAAAATATACACTAACGCAAAACATGAATAACTGTAAATTCATAAATTGATCAACATAGGTCGTGAAGTTGATATCGTTAATGCTGTATAAATTATCAATTATGCTTTATTTAGTTCTCATTATTGTCTGAGTTCATATTCTACATATTGTAAATAGTGGTTGAATTCAAATATTTTATAAACTAAGTTGGGAACTGATAGGAATTTGTTCAATTTCCCTCACTAATCTCAGGTATCAAGTCAATCTAAAAATTTATCCTGGATTTTTCTCAGGATATTTTAACTATTAACATAGGATAATCTTATCTGACTAATGGAATAATAATGTAGTTCATTTACCGAATAAAGGTTCATGTACTCAACTTTAAGGCGCATCATTTTTGTGAAGGATAGCAATACTATCTAACTACTCAAACTGAAGTGAGTGAAGTTTGACTTTTTAACCGAGTGCTTTAACCATTACTACTCATCATTCAGTGACATCATAAATCTAATATTCATAGGATTAAACCTGATTTTCAGAGTAAATAAGTTGATGGAGTTACGTTCATAAGCAATAATTATGTTTGAATGAGTTTCAAAGCGGTTTAATTAGGTCTGAAAAAAAACTTAAATTAGAAATTCAATGAAAATTTATTTGCAATAACTAAATCTTATTATTAGTCAGGATTATCATGCAAACAACATTTACACCTGTTCGTTAATCATTTTTAAAGAAGCATTAATGTGTGGTTTTTATATTGTTTTAGACGTATTCTTAAGGTGACTACAGTGATACAGGCTTTCGTTTGTCATTTCGAAGTTTGAACTATTAGCCATTCTGTTTAAATTGGGTTATTAAGGTCTTAAGCAAGTGGGTAATTTGTAAATTTTGATTGTGTTTAGAAGACAGACATCGTCAACATAGGGCCGGGTCCAAGTTACCATACTTGACTAACACAACGTGATGAATGTAACGAACGAGATCAAAATAATGTAATAAAAATGATAAAAAAGGTAATCAACTTGTGGGTATATAATTTGAAAAGACAATAGAGATTGGGACTAGGAATAAATTTCCGAACGCGTGTTTCGTCCTATTTGTGAGCACTAATACTGGAATTCAGCTATGTCCAACTGATGAGCTCCAAACGGAGTGAAACCAGGCCTGGTAGCCAAAATCCAACTTTCCTAAAACAAATCTAAATGATACCATGGAGAGATTTGTCTCTTTATGCCCATATGTTAACAAAAACTGACTAAATTCAATCACTATTATCAGCAAATGGAAAGCTCAAATTCTTACAGATTCAAGTAAATATTTTATGTTGATATTTGGTCATTTGAGGTTAGTTTTCATCAAGAACTTAAATCAGTCGAAGAATCTTTGAAGAACTATAGGACATTAAACATCTCTTGTGGCCCAGTATCTGGTTCCAGTATGATGATAATGTTATCGAAATATACATCCCAGCTACCCTCGTACATAACTATCGGCTTAATTCACATGAGGGAATAACGGATACTAAAATAGATTTTGAATACGTGTTTTTCGTACACATTGATCCAGACAGAATCAGAGAAGCAAAGTGGAGAAGGCGGGTGAACCAACCCGGTTTGATCAAGTGTGACTCGATATATATAGTTTGACAAAAATAAGTTACAGGCATGCAATGCATAATATAAGTAATTAACATACATGGTCACATAAAAACGGCCAAGGTTAATAAGCGAATACTTGGCAAGGTCAAACTGTGACTTGAAAAGAATGAATAAATCTATGTGTCCGGAAGCTAGTATGACCCATGTGGGTTAAAGACGACACATCTATGTTTGAATTATTTCAGTTAGATTTGTAAACTGCTGCACCCCAATGCAGTAGTTTAGACGTTAATCTTTCGCCCGCGAGACCAAAAGTCTCGGGTTCAGTTCCCGATCTGGGGGTCGAAAACGCTCACTGATGAAGAGGAGTCCAGCACTTGGACAAAACGGATATCCAGTTCTCATTGGTTTCCTAATTTGGGTCGGTTATGGTTCTCAATATATTGCTATGATTTCTTTTGTTACAGAAATCCAAGTAACGATATTTTCAGAATGTAGATAAGACAGATTTTTAAGGCCAAGATGTTTGGTTACAAATATATTGTAGAGTAAATCTACACTATTTTACTAAAACACAACTTATTATATGTTGCTTACAATAAGCCACAAACTAATGTGGTTAAAATTAAGCTTCACGACATATTTTCTATTTGGTTTATTACTGGCTTTTGTACATTTCAATTGTAGTAATTTCTAAAAATTCAAACAAATGATGTGAATTCGTCTTCATTTGATTATCATTTTATAGTTAATATTGTGGGATTTCATTTACTGGTCATCTTTAGACTTCTATGTATGATTAATCTTCATTTACAAATGTGGATATTGACTTTCAACATTACCTTGTACTTTTTATCCATCGAATTCGTTCGTTCTTTTTGAACTACATTGTCCAATGTTTAATCCTTACTTACAAATATCGTTTCAACTATTTCTCTATTCCTCTTGTTAATTTTATCTCATCGTGTTGATATGATGTGACGTGGGCTAACGCAGATCTATATCAAGCTGTAAGTTGATTGTATCTGAATGACTAGATATTTACTGATTTCATATTTGTATTGTTTATCTAGTCAGGTAGAAGCTCAACAAGTAGATAATGAATTATTCACAGAATATGCTTTCTCTGTTGATCAGCTGATGGAATTAGCTGGTCTAAGTTGTGCTGTTGCTATCAATAAGGTGATTGCTTATTTTTTATCTTATACTGTATTTATTATGGTTCACTTATTTTTTAAATTCTCTGAACATCATTACTGTTGTGATAACAAATCATGTAAATGAAGTATTCTCATCGTCGAACAAAAGGTTAATATCATAGCGTATGACAATGATTGCCATGTTATCTTATCATATTACTAGATTCTTTATCATAATGTGACTATGGTTTTTGAAGTGAGATATATCAGTACAAAGAGCCATTCTCCATATAAATACATTTTTGTTTTAAAGAGTACGTGTATAATGACAGAAATAAAGCTGTTTAGTATTTTTTAAATTTAAATGTTTTCCATTTATAACACCCGTTTCTTAACAACTGCATTACTTACTCGGTGGTCCCAAGCCATACTTCGAAGCATTGCTTGTATATCCTGGAAACGGATACTCGGTAAGAATGGCAAATCCATTGAAGTAGTGAAACTTTATCAGTTGAGATGGCTGGGACACGTGCTACGTATGCTCAACCACCGACTGCCCCGACGTGCGATGTTCAATGATACAGGAATGGGTTGGAATAAAACTAGGGGTGGCCAGACCAAAACATGGAACAAATCCATGAAGTCACTGATAAGTGAACTGAGCCATGTTGCTAGGTGTAGACTACCTGGTTGGGATCCACGAGACGATTGCAACCGATGATTAGAGACCTTGAATGACATGGCTGAAACTCGTTTGCAATGACGCAGGAGCATCCACTGTTTGTGTTGAGATGGTGGAGAAGATTTGTAGCTCAGGTGGATGATTTTGGTGGAGTTTTGTTCTCTGAGCTCAAGTATATAGAAAACCGACCCATACAGATCGAATTCTCAACTACAACAGCAATAACCCAAGAGCTCACAAAATCAGCTGCGTACACACATTGTTCAAGAGGGCGAGGACACACTGCAGCACACTGGCAGCACGAAAAAATGAAAAGAAATACCTGAAGGATATATTTAAAAAGAACGGCTACCCAATCAACTTCATCAAAAAGCATCAACGGCACACAGCATCAGAACCCAAGTCAAGCACGAAAATCAACGAAAGGATCACCCTACCGTACATACAAGGAATATCAGAAACCGTAACGAGACTGCTGAAAACCTTCGGGATAGGTGTGGCACACAAACCAACAAAATCACTACAATCAATCCTATGCAAACCAAAGGATGAAATAACAAAGGAAGACAAATCAAACATCATCTACAAAATAAATTGTATCAACTGCTACAAACACTACATCGGACAAAGCGGACGCCCCCTCCACCTACGCTTACATGAACATCAATTAGCAGTCAAACGCCATGATATCTCTTCACTTATATCATTTATACATGTGGATAACTACGGACACTCATTCGATTGGGAAAATGTAGAAATCTTAGACAGAGGAAACTCCAAAAAAAACAGAGAATTTTTAGAAGCCTGGCACTCAGGTCAATCAGCAATCAACAAACATATTGAAATCAATCCAATTTATCAACCAATCAGGAAAATCATGCATAAATATAGGAACAAAAATCAAACCAATGGGAGACGCAACCAAAACAAAGAAGTAAACAATGATAAATTTAAGGTCAACAAGAACCAATCAACATCGAGGTGCACAGAACAAGCTGTGAAACGCACATGGAGAAATTCGAACACTTCACTTCTATCTGAAGTTTGTGCTGATGATGTCGTTCAGAAGAACGATGAAAGCTCCACGACCAAACCATCCAGCTCAGAGAACAAAACTCCAGCAAAATTGTTTGTGTTCTCCCAAATTCTAATCTTCTGAATTCTTCATGTCCCTTTCTTTTTTCTCTTCCCGAATTTATTTCACTGGATTATACTCCTTTAATAACATCTTCAAACCGTAATCATTCCGATTACTGCTTATACTTTTACTATCTCTACCACTATGGGATTTGAATCGACAGTTGTATTTGTGTGCTAATGTGGTATGACAACTCGAACTGATGTACGTACGTACATACGGAGTTCTACGTTGTTACTGACTGACTGACTGATTCAGTAAGAGATGAATAACGTTTTCTTTTTTTAAAATATATATTACAAATTACTTATCGGATATGTAAACATTTCCTAATTTGTATTGAAATCTGTTTCTATCTGACTATTATCAAATATAGTTCAGTATTTTTCCTTCATCTTGAGTTGGAAACCATAAAAAGATATTCTGCTTGTTTTTTTCGTAAAGTACTTTTTAAAAACTCATTGTTAAATATACATAGAAATGACTAAATAAGCAGAATACTATTGTGATAGGCATAACAATGAGCCATGTAGTCTATTTGTTAAATCGTCTTGATTCTTTACTCTAAATGGAAATAATTAGAAAGATTCCCTTATTAAATCAGAAGCTCAAAATGAAGAAAGTATTTAGTTATAGAAGCGTTAATCAAAGCTACTGAATAATATAACATTGCTTTCACACGTGAAAGATAACTTTTACCACTGTACTATTCATGTAATAACGCTTTCAGTATCAATTATTTCCTGATAGTTTAAAAGATAGATTGCTCAAAAAAAAGTTACCAACTCATCATTTAATGAAAATAAAAGAATGAACCAATTAGATTCTTTCTTTTTGCTAATAGATTTTTCTAAAAATTTGATTTAAACCTTCGTACTTGAACTAATTTAGGTCACAGTATATTGATGAAAAAATATCAATGAATAATATATACAACCTTTCATGTTAAAACATACTTTTGTAATTTATCTATTTACTAGTTATTCAGTACATTATAAATTTCCTTTAAACCATACAGGCTTATCCCCTTAACAAGCTAACTAAATCCAATGGTTCTGTACTTGTTTTCTGTGGACCAGGTAACAATGGTGGAGATGGTTTAGTTTGTGCTCGACATTTGAAAATGTTTGTAAGTTTGACTTTATTGAACTTGGAGTTGTGGAGATTATTAAGTTTTTGATTGAGATCATGAACCAATTGATGTTAGACCATCACAATTGAAAACCTGCAAGCACTGGACGGCCATTTCGTCCTATTGTGGGACTCCTCAGCAACGCACAGCCACGATCCCGCGAGCGGGATTCGAAACTATCACCGTTGGATGCCGGCTCAGTGGTCCAGTTGGTTAAGCGTTCGCGCGCGAGACCGAAGGCCCTGGGTTCGAATCCCGCTCGCGGGATCGTGGATGCGCACTGCTGAGGAGTCCCACAATAGGACGAAACGGCCGTCCAGTGCTTCCAGGTTTTCAATTGTGATGGTCTAACATCAATTGGTTCATGATCTCAATCAAATAAATTTCTCTAAATAGCTTATATTAGCCAATCGAAATCAGTTTTATTCTTATCAGGACTATGACATCATTACCTGGTATTAATGTGTAATGTTTCATTTTATCGTCAAAAATGATCAATAACTTGTTTTTATTTTTATAAAATAAAAATATTTGGTACGAAATAACACCAAAGAAATGTCTCATTCATTTATTGGTTGCTTAGTATAAAGTCAAGCTGGTTGTTCAATAACTATTCGGTTGTCTGTATAAAACTAGACAAAGTGAAATTCGAACTCTTGAAATCTATTGACAGCTAAGAGTCGAGTAGTTTAATTTCTAGTCATTAATTCTCTACTTGAAATAGTCAACATATTTTGTAAGTCATTTGGAAATTTTGAATTTCGCATTCAGTATTCACTGATCCTTTCATTATATTTTGAAGTATTAAGTCTTAAAATGAAGATTTTTAAAAGTTGTATGTTTTCTGCAACTTTTCCAGTAATCCGTGAAAGTTAATCGTTGTTGGCATGATAAACATCGATTATCGATTTTGCCGATTGAATCACTAAGATGATTTATTATTAGCAGTTTTGTCCCATGCGAAATCTTTTTTCGAGGAGTCACTTTCCCCACTCTCCTTATCCTTTCTGTTTAGACATTTACTACTCTTCTATAGATTTTCTTTCGTTTGCACGCATGATAAACAATGCTTATCAAGGTTATTTATTTCATATATAGAGGAAATATCCCTTCAATTTAGTTTGTTTGTTATTTCACCCTTAAATACCAGATTGTTTGTTTTTCTTTTCTCGTGTTTATCTTGTCATTTGTAGGGTTACAAACCTTCTATACATTATCCTCGTAATCCAACCAAACAATTGTATAAAAATTTGGTTATTCAGTGTGAAAAAATGGACATTCCTTTTCTATCAGATTTGACAAATGAAGTAAGTTGGGTTTTTTTTTGTGTAAAACATTTTGTATATTTTAAAAGTGGTTTTCATCATAAACTGATTTCAACTACAAAAAAAAAACTTTTAAAAGCTGAGATACTGGTAAAAAGAACAGTTGATGATTCCCTCTAGTTTATAACTTCTTAGCAGTACTCGTCTCTTAAAGAGGAAGAATATATTTGTAAAATTTCAGCGAATGAATTTGAAGTAAATCCAACGTTTCGCCTGTCAATCTGGTCCAATCTTTTTCAAGGTAATATATTTTCTTTAAATACATTCGCTGAGATTTTACAAATACATTCTTCCTCTTTAATGTCTCACATCAACGTAGCGCCCAGATACTGTGAAACTGGTACTCACCTATAGTTAATCTTACATGGATACCAACCTAATTTGTGTATTGAGCATTATATATAAACTACTGAATAAAAATCCCTGAGGTTAGAATTTTTAATTTCAGTCAATTTGTCGCATAGCATAATACTGATTAAGTATTGTAACTGAATCACTTTCTCATTCCCGACTATTTTGATTTCATAGATCACAACTTTCAATTGTGAACTGCAAAAAGTCCATCTCAAAAAGTCACTAGTGTAGAGACGATTATTATAGAGTGAGACGGGTTTTTGTGTGTAGATATTTTTACTTAATTTGCGCATAAACTACATTATCCACTGATGGCATAATATATTAATCATACTAACAAAACCATATTTATCAATAATCACATATATCTGTATTCGACGTACACTAAGTGATAATAGTTTAAGACCTAACAATAAACCACATATAAATAAAAATAATATATTTGTAATATCCCAATGAGTAGAAAATTGGATTTTCTGACGTTTCGTGACTTAGTGTAAGTCACTTCTTCAGAGAATATATAACCAAATTAAAATTAATCCAAGTTTAAATAGTACAACGGAACAATGCAAGAATAATATTCAATTTATTCGAAATTATCAAATCAAACCTTGGTAATGACACCTACAATAAACCACAAAGTCTAAGTATACATCATTAAAAGTTAGAATTGTTTAAAAAGTTTACGGTTAAGCGTTCAGTTCCCCAGTATTCTAGATTAGCTATCATTAAAATAATATTGTGCGAATTGTAGACGTTAATTCACTGTATTCACATAGTTTTGACTCTCCATACCTTGACGCTTGGTTTCTTTTCATTCCTTTTTCATTTCTAATTGTGATATTATATTTTTCCTGATAACTGAATAACAGTTGTAGTGAACGAACACCCAGATGGGGAAAACCAATTTGTTATTTAGTTCAAAATTACAGCATATTTGTAAATTATGAAAAGCATACATTAAATAGGTCATTTTTACATCTTCCATCAACTATCGCAAACTTCATCGTCCTTTCGTTTCTGTTGTCTTCAATTCAATCTTCTCAATCTTCTGCTGTTATGCATTCCATTTGTGACTGGCGTTACGTACTACTTAGATCTGTCAGTATACGTAGCATGCACAACACAGTGATCTGAAATAACTTTAAACAGTTTGTAAGCACAGCTCTCTCAAAGTATCCATATTAGTGTTATAACTTATGACCGCTGATTAGAGAGTAGTGACTTATCGATCGGATCAATGACACGTAAAACCGTACGAGCAGCCTAGAGTACTGATTGGCATTGCTTCCAGCCTAGCCCAGCCAGTTGAATCCAGAACACAAGTCTCAGCCTCTGCAATATGAATCATTATATTTCAAACATACTCTGCTTATATACCAATCAAGCAGACCACAACGTACCATGAAATAGAAAATAACATTTGGCCAACAGGAAAATGACACGTGAAATAAAAATTGACCAATAGGAAAATGATGCTATTTCAAGTCCAAGGATAGCAGTAGACTTAACAAGATAATTTTTGGGATATTTTTCTGAATATCCCAACAATCAAACAGTATGAATGTATCTCTTTTTTGTCATACATCTAATAAACATGATTTTTACGAATATGACGGGCATTATATTTAAGTCACTGATAGAAATAATAATAGATTTTTAACAATCCAAAAAGTACTTTTTCAATTGTTCACATTATCACTTTAAAAAAATTCCAACACTGAAAAAATTCATGTTTAGCCTATTTAGTTTATATATGATACTTCTAATCCTAGTTATCCCATTATATTTTTAATCAGAAAATATATATTTAATTTATGTTCATAGATAATTGTTATATCCTAACGAAAAATAAATGAATGGTAGCTGCTAGGAATTATTTATGAACTATTGTTACATATATTCATATTCCTTTTATAATAAGCTTATGTTTGATCTATTGACTATTATTATACAATTCACTATTCTTAAGTTATTCCCAATTTATTAGTAACAGTATATCACACTTGCAGCCACTTTCGGTCTGATCTTGTATAATTGTTATTTTCTATTTTATGGTATGGTGCGGTCTGGTTCGCTTGTACATAAACTGTGTACGTCTGTAAGACATGGTTCATACAGTGGAAACGGAGATTGCGTTCTGGACCCAAACAGGAAGAGCTAGGCGAGAAGAACTAATAAGGACTGAGTTAACTCTAGGCTACTCGTTCTGGTCAATGCGTCATTGACTTCGCACAGTGCCAAGGTCATATAAGTTGGTATTTCTTTTAGCGACTTTGTCACGTGATAATAAACGGGGCAAAAGACATGGTGATCTACATAATGTTTCTTTTTTATCTCTATTGTTGTCTTACATTTTTCTTTAACTAGACAGTTAACTTATCTCAATCTTATGATCTATTCATCGATGCACTTTTTGGATTTGGTTTCAAACCTCCTGTAAGTCTAGAATTCAAAAGTATATTACAAATTATGTCAACAAGTCAAATTCCTGTCATATCGATAGATGTTCCATCAGGTAAGTGTACTTTTAGTGTTATGTTTTTATACTACAATCACATCGACCCTTGTAAGACATATTATCATGCTGATATATATATATATATATATATATATATATATATATATATATATATATATATATATATATATATATATATATATATATATATATATATATATATATATATATATATATAAGTTAGATGAGTTACATTTCATATAGTTACAAGAAAAGAACGAATCTTTCATGTGTTGAGCTCTAAATAAATAAATTAGTTTATTTAATCTCTAGGATACTTTAGTGTTGTTCATTGATCAATGAATAAAATTGATATCGAAAAACAGGTATAACTTGAAGCAAATACCGAGTGGGAACACTGTTGATTATCACTTATTTTCAACTAGCTCTTGATCGATCTATTAATAAAACACCGTATGAACTACGTAAATTTATGTGACAACTTTACAAGCTGAAGTAAGATGATTATATAAAACCACACTGTACAACATTTTCAAGTCTTCATCGCTAAACAACTCATAATTCACAGGGGTTCCACTTTGACACTCTGCTTTTGAAATTTGAGTTGCTTTATTGGTCTCAAGTTTCTCATCAAAACAATACATAGTGGTTGAAATAGTACTAAGTTATTAAGTAGTCATTTGTAGACCATTACTTTGAGTCATTTTGTAATTTATGGTCTTATCTATGTTGTACAATATCGAACATCCAGTTATCAGCTTCTTTTCTAACTACTTGTGAGTAACATAATTCAAAGTATTCAAATTTTCATGAGAGCAATATTGGTCAATAGCACAATCTCATCTGCAAATCCAAAACAGTAGTAGTGTGTAAATTCAGTTGGTATTCTTGTTTGAATCTTCCCATTGGTGTTTAGGACTGCAATCGCTCAATTTCTTATTGGCATATGTGCGTGTTGCCTCGATATTACCTTATTTCACAAGCATTATGAAGAAAGACTCAGTAGCTAAGTGGATAACGCAATGGCGTTTGAAGCGAATGGTACTGGGTTCGAGTCCCAGAGTGAACATCAAGTCTAAGATGCGGGTACATCCGGCTGACGAGTCTCAAATAGGACGAAACGCGCGTCCTGGACTCTACTTTTAGCCATTATCCATCTTTGCATATAATCCTTGTGAATTAAGTAGTAATATGTGTTGATTCTCAAAAATAAACTTTTAGAAATTTATAGTATTGTCACTGTTCATAATATTTTCTAATAATAATCTTTCTTGTATAACTTGGGGTGTACTGAATTCATATTTGTATGTAGCTGAAGTGATTTGTTTTGTTGATACGATTCCTTCCAGTTTTCAATATAAACATGCGCTTTACGTTTTGTTCTGAATGTGGCGCGTTTTATGATCTACTGGAAAAATAGAGTACGTATCGTTGAAGCCAAAATTGATATCTGTTTATAAAATCATCTAGGTCATAATTGGTACTGTAGTTTAAGGAGTAGGTTCAATAAAAACTCAAGGCCGGTTATCGAAAATTATTTAAAATGTAATTAAGCAATAATCGTTATACCGTGGACATACACGTTATTGTGATTCCCAATTACTCGTTCCTAATTCATAGAATTCAGTCAATTAGTTATAAACAACGTAAAATATGGAACATATATATCGGTTCAAATCGCTACATCAAGTTAATCTATACTTTCACGTTTGAAATACATTTTTCTCTTAACTATGTTCTGTTCACACTGAATTGTTTTGCCACATAGCAAATACTTATTTATTTATTTCAACACATAGATATTGGTATAAAGAGGCACCAAATACATATGCGCCACACAAATCTCATTCGATATGTGTGAGGGCTGTGATACTGCCCGGGTGCCCAAACCGAAGCAGGTGGTTTTCTTAGGGGCCACTCCCCGAGCCTTCGGCCTGAAGGTCTGATCCACAAGGCAGTGGAGCATCGTAAGGAGATGCAGTCCCATGGTAGCCGGTGACCAACAATTGGTTCGTACGCCAGTTGTTCCTTCAGGATACTGGAGCCCATGTACACCATTGGTTTGGAATCCGGTTAAAGCGCCGGAAATTCGCTTTTCGTCCTCTCATTTTCGTAAAGAACACCTCCGCCACGAGTAGGCAATGAGTAGGACTTCCCTGGCAGAGGCTATATACGCGTGGCCATGTGAGAGCATTTCGGGAGGGAGAGTGGACTCTCCCCACTCTCGGCCGCACCAGGGCATTTGGGGGCTATACTACATGTGAAGGTAATCAATGTACCCCTGATTTACTTATAACATACCTTATTAACGTATTATTTCATTCAGTTAAATCATATTAGTATTTAGTGGGTGGTGACGATCGATAAGGAAGGTTAAGGCCTAACTTTCATATTTCATTGATAAGGTCTACATTAATGTACATTAATCTTAAAAAAGCTTATCTTTCAAACACTATTCATCATGTAACTACTGTGTCAGGTCACTTAATTTGGTAGGCAGATTATTAACCTTAAATGATACAGGTCACAATGGATGACTAAATAACAAGCTATTTATCCTCTCTAGTCACTGATGTCTGTCTTAACTTGTTTAAATAACAACATATCACTGAATTCACATAAGAAGAAATAATACTATCTTACCTACATTTTGCCTATCTTTTTAGATTTTTATTAGATATTCATTTCTTTTAACGATCAATAGATAGCTGAGAGTTTTACATAAACTAATGTTAGCAATATAATTTATGTATCGATGATAAAAATCGAATATCAATTCTATCTTCCCCCGTATGTTTTATATAAAAGTAATGAAATGTATTCATGCTTTATTTCCGTTTACCTGTAGATAGGACATCCTATCACCTAATATTGTATCTTATGTGGTTAAAGTGTTGTGCACATCATGTGATTAATGCATTCGAATACTTATTCAGATGTATGTATGTGTGTATTATATGATTTGCTACTAATTTCTTCCCTCCACCCTACTTTTTTTAGTTTGTGTTTATTGTTCTTCTTTTCACATCACATATCTTAGTTTTCTTACCTCCTTGCTTGTTATGATATATATTTTTTTCAAAATATTTACTGTGTATTGATTTGACTTGAAGACAGTTTTATGATCATGGATATAGAAGTCAAGTGATGAACATTTGAAAACATAATGTCAATGAATTGCTGTTTCTCGTTTGAAAATATTGAGCTCTGTGTATGTACTACCTCGTTTCTGGCTAACATCTATCTATCTATCTATGATTTGCTGCAACCATCATCCAATGCTAGTGTTAGACTGTATTATCTTATTACTGAGTTTGTTGACCCTATAGGTCATAACATCTCACTATATAAATATATATATACAAAAATTGATCAGAAATTAGATTTATTACCATCATGTAGCGTAAAGTAGATCATATGTACCATGTAATTATGATCCGTACTACTTGATAAACTATTATCATCGTTTTTTTTATATCCTCCCTCTCTCCATACCCTATTAGACATACAAGTTCATCAATTCATTCGATTTTTCAATAAGCATGACTTGTTTTGGTTTGTTTAAACAGATCACATTTTAAACTTCGTTTGAATCTCAGTGTTTATGCTTTCATGCATTTAAACAATGAAGAAATCCATTGGAATGTCACATTATTTATTATTTTGATTGTTACAACTAATTATATATTTATGCGTATATAAAGGTTGAAAAACACTAGCTCTTATGAAACGTCACAAATGTATTATTATCATTAATATTTTCGAATTTCAGAAGGAAAGATTCGAGAAAACAAAATCACAAGTTTAAACCAGTGATTCTTAAACATAATTAATTAATTTATGTATCCAAATTGTATTTTACCCTACAATAAACAGTAATAACATCAGAATTATCTGTGACTGTATTACATTCACAAAACACGTAAATAGTATGAATTCATTTTTGTATTGTTTGTTAAAATCTTCCCATTGATGTTTAGGATTGCAATTGATCAGTCTCTTATTGACATTTTGGATATATTAGACTTTTATTATTGGATTCATAGTTGTGAAATTGTGTAGCTTTCTAACCAATAGATTGTAAGTTCTAATCCAGTAGTATCTACTTTGGTTTAAGCAACCAGTTAACATCATTATCCTTCATACAAATATAGTATGATTAGAAGCTTAATACATGAGACTTGTTTGTGGTAAATAAGTTACACCACTATTGAATTGATAGACTAGTAAAATAACATCGATTTCTGTAAAATACCATTATTATTATTATTATATTTTATAATTTAAAATATTAAGTAATCAAATGTTACATGCATATTTGTGTTCTATTCTGTTAAGTAGGGAATTTAATTACCTACCCATTAATGGCTATACAAATATAAATCATTTTTATTATAAAGTTGAATTCTATTCTAAATATTATTTGCCATGCATTAGTATGTAACAATAATTCCTGGCTTTAAGTCCTACTGAAATGTTCTACTTAATTAACATATAGTTCTTGGTGACGTTTCATTCTCTGAACTAAATGATTTAATCATGGAGTCTTTTTCGTTATTCTTCTGAACAATATCATCAGCATAAACTTCAGGTAGAAGTAAAGTATTCGAATTCCTTCATATATAACTGACAGCTTGTTCTGTCAACCTTGATCTTAATTAGTTATTGTTGACCTTCAACCTGTAAGAAAATCCTTCATAAATCGCTTCTGTATGGTCATTTTGTTACAAGATTTTTGGGACAGATAGCTTGCAGCTAGCAATGGAATACAGTTTTCAATGGCTTAATGAACAGTATGTAGGATTTTAAAGCGAAAGGTATTAGGTTTAAGTCCCATTGAAAGCATCAACACTGGGATCCAAGTACATTTAATATGTAAAATCTCAAAACACTTTATAATGTAATTTCTTTTTATTCTATAAAATCATCTATTTATTAGGTCATTATAAATAGGAGTATTCAGCTTTAATAAATGATATTATCGAAAAGAAAATTTTCTTTTTATTGAATTCTGTTTTTTTTTTTTGTCTAGTCAATGACATAATGGGTTACTTCAAGCCTTTATATGTATATAATTATTGAAGCCACTTTTCATCTGGTAATCTTATTCTTATGATATACCCCACTATTTTCTTTTTACTTTAAACCCCACGTCCATGAAATGTGTACAAAGAATCATTCATCTATTCCATTTAGTTTTTTTTTTCTTATCATCTAATTTTAACAACAGTGAACTAAAATTTTACGTATTATTAATCTCACACTTAAGTTAATAATCTAAACTTATTAGAAGTCTATTGTTTAACTACTAACAATACCAGTTAGCCGGGGGTAGAAATTTTTTTGATTTATAGTAGATAATTAACCAGCTAATAATAATAATAATAAAGATAATTATGTCGTAGTTTTTAAAAACTATACTATTCTTTGTTTCTTTTCAATAAATCTTCTGACTGAACGCTTGGATTGGTTTTATAAGGTCTTTTAATAACTTCGGGGTAAATCTATACAATAACTTGAACACAAGAGAAAAGGTGCGAAATATGAAAAAACGCTTTACTACAAGGTTCGTTTGTGTACAGAAAATTTAGTGTTTTTAGCATGTTAGATGACCTTGAGCTTCTGGAAAGTTCTGGAGCGCTACTAAACATAGTAGTGGGATAGGTAATCATTGAGTCAGAGGTGTGACACGTGACTCTTCATCTTATAGATGTGTCAGAGATACTTCTGCTCAATGCTGATTGGATAAAATGTTTTCTAACGTTTTCAGAGCCTCTGGGCTTTTTTGGAGGAATATTCTGGATCTCCCCACCACTTTTATTATCCATTGATGAAGGATTATTTTACAAATAAACAGTAAACGACTATAAGTATCATCATCTTTTTCCTCTTCCAACTTCATAAAATCCAAAACAATTTCCAATATTTTTCTACAAATAGCTCCCCTGTAAAACAAGATGACTTATCATTAGGATTATTTTAAATGTATAACCTTGTGTTTCAGTCTAATCCTAAGACGAAAAATATATATTTCAAATTACAGTTGTTAATCATTTTAATAGAACTATGATGTTGGTTTTGTGGGACAGGGGAGCGCTAAATAAATATTTTAGTATTTTTGTTTAATGGTTATTATTATATATTTTTATTTATTTATTTCATAACAGGATGGAATGTGGAAACTGGACCATTAGATAGTGAAACTAATTTAAAACCGGATTGTTTAATATCATTAACTGCACCGAAATTATGTGCTCACTACTTTCAAGGACAATATCATTTTCTTGGTAATTTAACTTTATATATGTATGATGAGTTTTTTTTCATGTGAGTTTGTATGTTAATTGTTTGTTGAAAAAAAAATTGGTCAAGCGATTCAGATAATACGCTGATTTTTAATTAAAAATCATTAACATCTACTTTACTATTAAAACAAATTGATTCAAAGAATACTCATATACATCTATTCAGTTTATACTGAAATTTAGTGGCATCTAATTCTTTGAATAATTTTATAAAGTAAACTGTGAAAGATTTTTCATCAACTGAAAACAGCCTATATTTACTTTGATATAGAATAGAGAATTGAAATGAAAATTAGAAAGCTCAAACTCAAAATAAAGAAATGAACTAGGCAATATTCTTTATTCTACTCATTGCAAAGATAAAATAATCTCAGTAGTTAAGATCATGAGTTAATTGAAGCTAGACCACCATGGAAAACCTGAAAGCACTGGATGACCGTTTCATCCTATTGTGGGACTCTTCAACAGTGCGCATCCACGACCCCGCCTCGCAAGATCCGAACCCATGGCCTATTGGTCTCGCGCGCGAGCATTTAACCACTAAACCAATGAGCCGGCATCCAACGATGTTATTGTCTAAGTTCAACTAATCCACGAAATTGAGCAACACATCCACCATTGTCATCAGTGAGTTACTACCCCTTCTGATGATAATCTAATCACGAATATTGTATTGAGACAATATAATGTAAAAAATAATTAGAAATCAACGAATATAGTTTTTTCATAAAATATGAAAATAAGTTTACTCAAAAAAATTTAAACATTCAGTTGTAAAGAAATTTTTTGTTTACATCTTGTTTACCACCTTATGAAGATGTTATTTTATAAAAAATAATTAGAGGGGTATAGAAAAGAGCTATGTTGCTTTTAATATGTAACATCAAATAATCATAAACCAATCAAAGATATGTAAATACCTGCTTACTGAACTTATAAATTTGCAATATATTTATGAAAACAATTACATAAGAAGATCTGAGAAAATGTCTTCATGAAACTTTTTGAATGTGTTTATTGAAATATGTACTTGGAAGAAAATAAATTGTGATTGATAGACAGTAATTACGAAATGATTGTTTTCGCAACCTAATTAATAATAAATTGACTTGTTTTACTTTGCAGAAATCTTTACGATCTATTGTTTCTCAACATATATATATTTAAATAGAAGTATAGTCACTAACTTCTAGTCTTAGCCATGTTGGTAGATGCAGACTACTTGATTGGGGTCTGCGCGACTATGGTAACCAATGGTTGGAGATTATTGGTGACATGGCTCACAATCGATCATAATGGGGTAGGTGTCAGTCAGTCAGTAGCAACGTAGAGCTCCGTACGTACGTACATCAGATCGAGTTGCTACACCACATTAGTACAGATATGCAATTGTTGATTCAAATCCCGTAGTGGTAGAGGTAGTAAGAGTATAATTAGTAATTGGAAAGATTACGGTTTGAAGATGTTTTTCAGTGAGTATAATCCAGTGAAATAAATTTGGAAAGGGAAAAAAGAGACAAGGAGAATTCGAGAAGACACAAAAAGTGGATGCACCTGCGCCATAGCAAACGATTTTGAGTCATATGATTCAAGGCCTTTAACCATCGGTTGCAATCGTCTCACGGATTTTAACCATTTAATCTTCACCCACCAACGTGACTCAGTTCATTTGGCGTAGGTGTATACATTCTTTGTCTTTTCTTAAACTATGAGATTAAAATTATTTCATATCGTTCTACGAACTGATTTTTTCTTTCTGTACTATATCCTTATATAAAGTCTTTTCTTTGTATATTACACCATTGAATTAACTGCTTCTATGAATCCGGTGTTCGTCTTGCTGTCCTAATACGGTGTAGCAACTTGGACCGATGCATATATGTACCTGGTCCTACGTTCTAACTGATTGACTGATAGTTAATCTCTCTTTTCTCCAATAATAATTTAACTGTCCTAAAAGAATTTCACCAATTACATAATTTCTCAGTTATTTTATTTTATTACTTCATTTTTAATGCTTATCTTAACCAACTTAATTATGTTAACTTATCATTTCTAATTATACATTATTCTTTACCAATCTAGTCAATTTTTAGCTAATACGAAAGTTTTAAAATTCTGAAAACTTTTCAAAACTTCTCAATCTAATTCCCAATTTAGATTTATTCAATATAATCAAAAGTTGTTTATTATCTATACAAATAAAAAGTCCAAACCCATTAAAATGAAAGTGAAGTTGAGTATCAAACATTTGTGTGCATGATAATAACTAATATATAAAAACAAAATAAAAAATATAAGGAATATACTAATAGTCGGTGCAAAATTTAAATAAAAGTATTAATTACATTCTCTATGACAACTAGATGAATTAATGAATAATTATTATGTCTACATTAACCATTCTTCAATTATGTACACAAGTTTATTATGATTTTTAATCATTCTTAATTGTCTTGTTTATCATAATGTTTTTATTCAATATACTTTATCATAAAATGATCTTCATTGATTGAATATCTGAAGTACATTTGTATATATATATATCCAGTATACATAGTTTTATGTATATTGATTAAGTCTACTATATAAACAATCAGTTTGTTTATCTTATTAAATGGTCTAGTGATATATTAGTTCGTTTGCAAGTATATAAATATATCACTATTTATTAGAAAAACATTCATCTCTCTCTCTGTCTCTCCGGGATGGTTATAAAAATTATATGCCTACTGTATTGCCGAAACAACTTCCTGTCTGTACTATAATTGTGACCATTTAATTTACATTAGTAAATTATAATTAATTGTCTGATTATCAAGTGGAAAAAAATGAGTTAAAATGATGCAATTAAAGTTTAATTGGTCATTTTTATTTACATGTATAATTAAACTTATTATTTATAGAATTTGGGTTGAGAATTATTCATTACCTTCTTTTTATTTATTAAATCAATTTTTTATTTGTCCAGTTTCCAAACAAAAGTAAAATTTCAATAGTTGAAATCATGAGCTAATTGAAGCTAGACTACCATGGAAAACCTGAAAGCACTGGACAGCCGTTTCGTTCTAGTATGGGACTCCTCAGCAGTGCGCATTCACGATCCCGCCTCGCGATATCCGTAATTACGACCTACTGATCTCGTGCGCGAGCACTTAACCATTAGACCACTGCGCGAAACTGATAGGTCCTGGGTTCGAACCTCGCGGGGGGCGGGATCGTGGATGCGCACTGTTGAGGAGTCTCATACTAGGACGGAATGGTCGTCCAGTGCTTCCAGGTTTTCCATGGTGGTCTAGCTTCAATTGACTCATAATTCCAACTATTGAAATTACTAGAATCTCTACAAAACCCCTTCTGATAAAAGTAAAATTGCACATATTTAAATTGAAACTGTTTATATTATTGGATAAATTAAAACAAAGGATACTTTCTTTTATAATTTTCCTTTTAAATAATGAAGATACGGTATAAGCTTATTGATTTTATGTAATTATTGACTTCTATGGTATTATTGGCTACTCAGGAAATAGAGGTGTAAGGTGGTTAGCGATTATCGACAGGAATCTCCATAGTCTACATTTAACAATAGTTGGCACTTGTCAATTAGGCATATTTATCTATAGTCTCAAAGGAATTTATTCTCCTTATGTGATTTTAACCGAAGTTATTTAAACTATGACTCATCAGATTGTAGAACTGTCATATTTACAGATTCATCACTAAGTGATAATTAATGTCATGTTTTCGGTGAAGTTTCATTGCTTCGAGTTGGATGGTTTAGTCATGAAGCTTTCACAGTTCTTTTAAACATCATCAACACAAACTTCAGATAGAAAAAGAATAATAAAAGTCTCATCATTGAACCATTCAGTTCATAGAACAAAATTCCATAGAAACCATCCGCCTAAACTACAAATCTCTATCAGTTCATGTTTATTTAGTCTTTAATGTTGTACAAATACTATTAATCAAGGTCCAACATGTAATTCATTTATAAAAAGAAAAACTCATATGAACTATATTTCGATATTAGGCAGTTAAAGTCAATCGGATCCAAATCAATGATTTCAGCAAAATTGGGTATAGACAGTTGATTTTACACTTTTTGTCCTCATCAAATCTTAGTTTTTATTATTTACAAGTTATTAAATAGAATTATGTATATTTAAAGGAAGTATCTCTAGTTGTTGATAATATCCAACCATTGAACAAAGTACATAAACAACCTTTTGGAAATAAAATCATTTCAAAACTATATATCATATTGACCTATTTTCGTTACCAAGGTGAGTAGAACATCATGTAACCTGCAGAGTAGTGACTCAGATTGTGTGGTACTACTGTTTTTAATGATCAACACATACTTTAAGAAAAGTTATATACCATATTTGCCTAAACAAATTTCCATAACATTTACTGAAAGAAGTGTAAAGAAGTAGTGATCAGTGGAGTTCAACCAGGTCTGTTGTGAGATAGTAACTCACTGAAGACAATGGTGGATGTGTCGCTCAATTTTGTGGATTATTTCAAGTTAGACATTAACGCCGTTGGATGCCGGCTCAGTGGTCTAGTGGTTAAGTGCTCGCAAGGGGCGAGGTCGTGGATGCGCACTGCTGAAGAGTCTCACAATGGGATGAAACGGCCATCCAGTGCTTCCAGGTTTTCCATGGCGGTCTAGCTTCAACTGACTTATGATCTTAATCATTGAAATCAATTTCTTCTACATTTAATTAGGAAGAGATCGATCACAACCTAACAATACTCAGCCAATAAAACTTCACACCGTAAACGTGTAGAAGTAGGAAGACTAGTCTTTTTTCAATGGAGCGTTTACTATCTATACAAAAGCTGATGTCACTACAAATTGTCTGTATATGTCATTTAGAAATCTATAAGACAAGATAACGTCCTGACAGATAAAGTTGCTAATTCTGAGAAAGTATCGATCATTTTGGTAATTGTGGATTCTATGTGCATAAAATATGAATGCAAATCATATAGCTAAAAAGAAAAATCCTAAGGTGTTCCCAGTAGAAAAAAACACTATCTGAGTATTTCGGGTCAATCATAAAATCTAAAAATACGAAACTCTTTCATGGAATATTCAATAAAGAAAATTCTACTCATAGAAACGTGTTGGATAAGAATAACGATAAGATAAATATAGATTTACATTGTTAACTTATTAACTTACTGACAACTTACTAAATAATAAGCAAACAAATAATGTCAAGTTTATTATGTAGAGTTGGGTTGCTTCGATCAAATTACTGATTAACTTAGTTATGCAACGTTAATGCGAAATCATATTGTCTGTCGACCAACAAACAGCTGAACTATATTAATTCAAGATATTGCGTTGAGTGTGAATCGACTTCGATCTCTGAAACGTTGACTTCTATTATCCTTTGTTAACCATATAAACTTTTCACATCTACTAACAATGTTTATTTTAAAGCGTCAAGATACATATTCTTTTATTTATGCAACGTTTTATATAATTTTTTCATTTTATTTTCAGGTGGGAGATTTGTGCCAGACGCACTAATGAAGAAATACAAATTGAAACTACCTACATATCCTAGTCATGAGTTATGTGTACTACTTAATTCCTCCGATGATAAGTAGTTAGTTATATTTGCCAAACTTTTGTAAATGAAATTTTGTTAAAATATCTTTATTTGGAAAGATTCCACTGAATGTTAATACTTTATTTAAGAATAGCACAACTAACTGAAGTAGCTTTGGTTAACAGACCATTTTCATGTGTATCCACTATGTCATCAAATCTAATAGGTCTTATTTTTATTTCACTTATATTTGCTTTGTATGTGAATATAATACACGTATCTGTCACGTTTTTATGATTTCTATTTGAATTATTATATCAAGTCTTTCAAGTAGATACAAATCCAGTATTTCAATGGAGATAAGGAAGAAATCAGAACTTATTTATTGTAAGAATTCAATGTATTTGTAGACAAAATTATTCGTTGATTAGTCTTACTTCTTACTAACTGTAACAGAATATCTGAAGATTGATCTATAAATTTGTTGGTTCATTATTCAATTACAGAACCATTAAAATTAGATTTATGATTATCATCGTTCTTCTTATCTTTACGTTTACTCATCCCATAAACCTATATTATTAACAACTAATTTACAATACATTCAAACACCAAGTGACTAATGAATTATAATTCAGTTAATCTCATGCGAACCATTTTATAGAAAATTAACTTTCGACGTTGAAGTCTTAAAACTTATGGTGATTAGACCTTCTGACAACTACCAAGTTCCAGTAATAAACAATTACATGGATATTCTTTTTTTCAATTTAACAGGATCAACAAGCAATTTCCGCCTTCAGAGTACAGATTGTCTAGTTATCTCGAATGGGATATAAATTCCTATTATGTTCAACTTTGAGAATCTACGCATGTGTACACCTAAATCCTCTGCAATAATCTTTGAAAACGGATAGTTTGGTAGTGAGAATTCGAATTTGCTTGAATTGTTTAGTTTCAGCCAACTTGTAGACTCCTTGAACGTATACATCGATATTGTCTGAAGTTGTGTCGGCTATTTATTTTCGTAGTATCTAACAATGGAAAATCAAATGCTTGTTTTATGCTGTTTGAGGTGTATCAAGTGGGCGCGAAATACAAATATATGTATATCATGACTTTGGGACGTGGTATTTATCGTTACTTAGGAATCTAGTAGATAACGCTCTGAGTTTTGAAAGGATGAGTATTGGTTTGTTCTGAAATCCAAGCACATTGAGCTTCAAGCAGAACTAAACGTACACTTTGGATTGCACTGATAACCATCATAAAATATACCTGTTTTCTTAGCACATTGACAACATACATTATATACAAACGATCATCCCAAATCTCTTAATTCACGAATTAATGTTGATCGTGTCCTCTTGTGCGAAATAAAGTCCAGTTTAGCTTAATGTCGTATCAGTTCGTGCTACAGTACTTCATTTTACTTTTTTATTAACTCGTTTACCAGACACTTGTATTTGAGCAGCATTCGAAGTTCAAAGGCTAGTGAAACTAACCAGTTGCCGAAATAAATGGAGAGGGGTTTGAACCTATGACTTAGTGGTTTAAAGTAAAATGCACTAACCACTGAGCCATTGTAATATGAGGAAACTGATTTATCTCTGAGAAATTTCCATTATATAAAAACATATATGAACAAGGAATATTCTTTCCAATAAATTCTCTTCAGGTTCTACAATTTTATATCCCAATTAATAATCCGAAATGTGGCTAGGTGTAGGGAAAATACATCAATCGAAAATTATAGCATGTGAATTTAGGATTGTAAAATAAAACAAAATCGTTAATGCTGGGTTGACTGTAATAAGTTTATACGTTAAGTGAATTTGTAAAGTTAATAATCAGGATAAATACAGTTAATATGGAGTGCAAGAAATAATGATGTAATTATGAATTAAACTGATTTAGCTGGAAGTTTCATTCATTTAAAGAGCTCGCTTCTTAAGTAACTCCAATTAGTCCCATGAATTAGGTCGTCTTAGCTGCGTTTCCAATGTATATTTTAGATCTGACAAGATATCTAAATAAAGATGTGCATCAAGGATATTTATTTCCGCATAAAATAAAATCCTGGCTAATCATGAAAATTACTCTCATACATGCGGGTCCTATCGAACAACTTAGATGAAGCGAAAATTAGAAATGTATGCGAACGTATAACTATGAAAATGCATTCGTTAATAAAAAGGTCCAAGTGGTTTAAATTGACCAAGTAAAATCTTATTCTTCAATCAAAGGTACATAGTTTCTGTAACGGCCGAAATTCCAGTATTTGGTTTGACTGCTGAACTAATGAACCAAAGTTTATTCGATTTGGCCAAACTACGTTCTTCCATATAGCGTACGAAGCATTTTTGAGTGAATTGTATTAAATTATATTAAAACACAAACTGTTCAATTTAGACGGTTCGAATTTAAGAAACAAAACAAGTATCTCAAATAGTACGACCTATGCTATATAGTCAAAGGTATCTGTAGAGCAAAATAACGTACTAAACAGCCAAAGAAATAGTTCATAAATCCTAGTACTATACCTCAGAATCAACAAAAATATTCCCAACAAGATGGGGCCAGATATATATCTGCAAAGATCCCTGTAATCCCTCCAAGCACATAGTTAAAGGTTAACAATCATACATTGAACTACGCCATAACCTTGAGTTTAGTCAAACATGACCTTATTGTCCATAGTCCGACAACATGCAGCAGTAAAATTAAGTAATAAAAAGTCAAATAATAAAGGCCCAGACAAGGAAGACTATAGAATAAAATTTAGAATACAAGACAAGGAAAAAGAACAAGGTCAGACTGATTACAATTGGATCTGTCAAACTAGTATTGATTTGCATAAACTAAGTATATATACACTATCCAAAATATTGCTCTTAAAATCTATCCACTGCTAATTGGTTTTAATAAGTCAAATAAGAAAAGCTAACTGTTTTTAACAGTTCACAAACAAAAAAGGAATCGATAACGAGATTTATCAACACAGTAAGCGAGTTTACTTCGAACGTGTGGTTAATTGGATTCATTTATCAGAAACACATTAATGAAGAAATATTCCCAGTAGAATAATACCTACTATCCAGCAGAGAGATCTATTGACAAACAAATATACCATTTATCGTGTCAATAAATTAGAGCTATCAAAACAAAATACACATTCTGACCAATTTTTTTATATTATATCAAAGTATTATCATACTATCCAGAAAATGTAATAAATAATTCAAAGAATAAGGCATTGAAATGACGGCGCCAATAACAAGTAAGCATCATTAAAAAAAAAACAACAACAGGGAATTGAAAAACCAATACGTCAATAATAATGAACAATTTTAATATATAATAATAATCTTAAAGAAGTGGTATATTACATGCATTTAAAATTAATATTATATCGTGCAGATCTGTAGGTTCAATTCAATAAAATAAAGTATTATATATATCATAATCAAATTGTTCTCTTCTTAATCATCACTGGGATTAAGAATAGAGATAAGAAAAATTGAAATGGATAAATAATTGACAAATTAAAAGCATATCATAGAAACAATGAATAAGTGTATGTAGGTATACACATACACACACACACGCATACAAAGAGAGAGAGAGAGAGAAGCATGCAAAACACACATACATGTATATGTATGTATCATAAACCGAATAAGTAAATTTCTTTTAATCTGAATTCAATTGACGAAAATGAAAGAAAAAAATATTTCGAAAAGATAAAAACATCATTAGAACATTGTTTGTTAATGGAAAAATTGATAAATAAATTTGTGAAATGATTCTTCAAAAGTTACTGTACAGTAAATAATAACTAATAATATAAATTTATTTATATAAAGATGATTATGATGATTGTTTTAAACTAGCAAGATGAGATTCTAATGCTTCTAATTCCATTTGCTGAGATTGAATTCGTGCTTTTGTATGGATACCCTAGAAAATTCAATTGAAATAAAAATTATGAATATATATATTATATTTTAAGAATGGGGGTTTGTGAAGATTCTCAGTCAGTTAGTCAGCTACAACGTAGGACCACGCACATATATATACATCGGTTCAAGTTGCCATACCTCATTAACGCAATAAGATGAACACCGGATTCATAAAAGTAGTTAATTCAGAGGTGGTAATATATAAAAGAAGATTCTAATAATTTTAATAGTTGAACTCATGAGTCGATTTAAGCTAGATCATTATTGGAAACTTGGAAGCACTGGACAGATGTTTCGTCATAGTGTGGGACTTTACAACAGTGCACATCCATTGATCCCGCATGAAGGACTCGAGCCCAGGACCTTCAGATTTCCGTGCAAACCTCTAGAATTAATTATACATAGACAAACTATTATAAAACTTTTCATTTTTTGATCAAGGATAAATGAATCATTTTAATTTATAAGCCGATATCCGTCTATCAACAAAAGCAAGAGTATACTGCACGGCAGTCCGTTCTGTTTTAATTTACGGCGGTGAAACATGGCCATTAAGAGTAGAAGACACTCGTAAGCTATTAGTATTTGACCACAGATGCCTTAGAAATATTGCTGGCGTCTTCTGGGATCACCGGGTAAGTAATAGTGAGGTTAGACGCAGGGTATTGGGGAATGATGTTAAATCAGTCGATGAGGTTGTGAATCTTCATAGACTGAGATGGTTGAGTCACGTGTTACGTATGCCCGAACACCGATTACCACGACGCGCAATGCTAACCGGTGTTCGGGATGGTTGGAAGAAAGTTAGGGGCGGCCAAACCAAAACGTGGCATCAGTGCTTGAAGTCACTAACTTCTAGTCTGAGCCATGTTGGTAGATGCAGACTACTTGGTTGGGGTCCGCGTGACTATCATAACCAATGGTTGGAGACTCTTGGTGACATGGCTCAGAATCGAGCACAATGGCGTCGGTGTATACACTCTCTATTTTCCCTTAAACTAAGAGATTAAAATTGCTTCATATCTTTCTTTCTGCGAACTAATTCTTTCTTGTTGTACTATATCCTTATTGCAATCTTTCTTTTATATAGTACCACCTCTGAATTAACTACTTTTATGAATCCGGTGTCCATCTTGTTGTGTTAATGAGGTATGGCAACTTGGACTGATGCATATATGTGCTTGGTCCTATGTTATAGCTGATTGACTGATTATAAGCCGATTGGTTAAATAGCTGACAAACGATTGCAATAATTTTCTTAAATGGATGTTCAACAACTTATAAATCAAAACAAACAAATATTAGCATTTCTAGTTTTAAAGATGTCACATGGAAATTGTTGATATTATTTGATATTATTAAAATAAATCATTAATATCATTTAGACAAACAAGTTCATTTTGTATTGTTTATTAAAATATTTCCATTGATGTTTAGAATCGCAATTGATCAGTCAGTTAATGGCATACATGCATTCTGTGCGGATTACCTTGATATTGCCTCAAGTCACAAGTATTATTCTTGTTCAATGTCATCATCACCAATTGAACCTTACTTTTTAAAAA